CCGTGTAGGAGTTTTTATCATCTGCACAGCCGGTTCCTGATAGGGAAAGTATTCGATGGCACACACACCCATCATCTCACTGTGCATTGGAGGCTCCTGCTTCTTAGCATTTATCACACTGGGTTAATATATTTTCTTGTCATCTCACTGGCTGGATGCGTTGCTGGTGGGCAAGACAGTGGCTCTCAGCAGGCTTTCAGGAAAGGACGAGTGAATGAATGAATGGACAAAAATATCAGCAGTGCTGGTAAAATGTGAAGAGGTGGTGTGCCTTAGTTTTCGTCCTGGTCCTGTTTATAATGCAATTAAACATTTGTTTTGGGCCCTGGCTGGGGTGGCTCAGTGGATTGAGTGCTGGTCTGTGAACCAAAGGGTCTCTGGTTCGATTCCCAGTCAGGACACATGCGTGGGTTGCAGGCCAGGTTCCCAGTAGGGGGCGTGTGAGAGGCAACCACACACGGATGTTTCTCTCCCTCTCTTTCTCCCTCCCTTCCTCTCTCTCTAAAAATAAGTAAAATCTTTAAAAAAACATTTGTTTTATACTGTTGGCATGCTTAGATTCATCTGTTCCCTGGCCCCCAAAACCTATGTACTTTTATTAAGCAATGTCCCCCCAATAAATTCAACTGAAAAATGTGTTAGTTGGTACTGCCTTGCTCAGAGTCAGTGGCCATCATGTTGTTGAATGAATGAATATTCCTGGGATGGAGCTTATCTTTTGGCTGAGGAGTTGGAAATTTTCAGATGCCCTTCTGATCTGTAAAGTAAGGTACCCCAGCGCTTTAAGCAATGCTTCCCCCGGGAATGGACCCTCTTAAACTAGGGTGGGTTCAAAAAAACCTACACAAACTCCAATAGGTAAGGGATGCTTGCTCATTGACTCATTCGTCTGGAGGAGCAGTGGAGGGGACTCTGAAATAAAGAAACAATGATAGAGCCATGGTTTTCTTGCTCAGATGAGATTGAATTGCCCCTCTTGGCTTCACCCAAGAAAAAGCAGAGGGTCCTTGTATGGCCGTAACCCTGGAGGCCTCTCCTGGGAATTGCTGGATGGAGGAGACACTGTCCAGTCTGGTTAATGTCACTCTGTGTCCCTCCGGGCTTTACATCGGCCATTTCTCCTCCCCTGCGCACTGTCCCCAGGTTGATGACCTTCCATTCTTCCTCTTCGTCCCTGACTGGGCCCAATCCTTTCCTTCTCCTGCCTTGGATCTGAGGACACATGTTATACTTCCTAGCTCATGTGACTGACTTCAACTGAGAGCCGTCAATTTCTGTATTTTAATATTTCTCTAACGTATAGAGGTGACCATTCCCCGTCCCCACCTCTGATGGGAAAGAGTCTTACAAAGGAGTACGTTGGTTGGAAGGCGTCTTTTACATGATATTCAGGGCGTTTTATTATGCTGGTTAGTGATGGCCCAGGGTCGGATGAGCGGGGAGGGCCATTTTTCCCCTCACGGTCTTGACACGTTCAGAAGTGTGTTTAGCTAGTTAGAAAACAGTGTAAATATGTAGTGTTCCCTCTTTTCTTCCCTCTCAATGTGCACCTTTGCTTGCTGTCTCTCTTCTGAGCTCCGAGGGCCTGTCTCCGGAACTCGTTTCCTGAGCCCCCACAGCCCAGCCCGCTCACTTCCCGCACCTCTGTGACTCTTCCACTTGTATTTGAGAAAAATAAAGGAAAAAATCATGAAAACTATATTTTTGTAAACACATACATATTCTTAGAACTATAAACGTTGTAGGAAAGGGTCTATAAAGTCACACTAAGGTAGAATTTGCTGCTTTGTATATGTGGCAATTCTAGCTTTTGAAGGCCTGTCCTGAGTAGCTCTTGGCCGTACTGAATTTCTTAGTGCAGCTCGAAGCCCGCCCGTCCTTTTGTGAAATGTAAAGGCTGGCCAGCTGAGCTTCAAGGCATCTCGAGGTGGGGAGCTCTCTGGGTTAGGGATGCTTGTGAGTCCTCTGCCCTTAACCTGGAGCCGTGGCCAAGGTGCAGGTCCAGCTTCCTCACTGTGGGGCTGTCCCATGCTCTTGGAGCAACCTGTTGCTTTGAGGGACACAAAGGAGACTCGGGGCTAGACCCTCTTCTACTTTTCTATCTATCCTCCACCCCTTCCCCCAGACTGGCTTATTGGAAATATGGCCCCCCGAACAGAAGGGGGTTAGAATTGGCAGGGCCTGATGCCCTGTGTGAGCCCCCAAGGGGGAAGGGCTTTGCCCTAAAACATTTCATCTCTACTCCCCTCGTGCTGCTTGGCAACTTCTCCAGGGTTTTTAATTTATTTTTGTTCCCATCTCATCTTTTCGTCTTGATCTGTGTTGTCTATTGGGATAGACATGTCCTGCCAGGTGGACATGGTCTATATTTATTTGTGTTGTCCAATTTGGTAGCCATTAGCCACAGGTAGCTCTTGAAGACTTGACATGGACTTAGTATGATGGGAGAAGTGACTTTTAAATTCACTTAACTTCAATTTACATTTAACTAGCCATAAGTGGCTAGTGGCTACCATATTGGAGACCGCCAACGGACGTGAGGACGAGGCCTGTATTTGGTTTACTTTTTCCTGTGTTGTTTCCGAAGGTACATGGGGCCGAGCTGACAAGATTGTCAGAAACTGTACAGCTTTGAGCTTGACATTGAATTTGGCTTGTCATGGTTATAGGAAACTGGAATTAGATGACCTTGATTCTGTCTGCTCTCCTGAAATTTGTTCAGAGCGAGTTTAAAAACCTGAGATGACCAGAACTAAAAATGCCAGATTCGCCTTAAAATTCCGCATGTCAATATTCATGTTCAAGTAGAAAAAACAAGCCCTATCAGTCCAAGCACATTGATTCCAACAACCTGAAGACGCGGAGATCTCTGCAGTCACCCTGGGTGGCCTTCGTCAGTGCCGGCAGGTGCTTACTGATGCGCTCGTTTTCACTTCGCTTCTTCCGAGTGGATTCTCGTTGACAGGTCTCGGACCCTTTAGTGGTTAGGTGTGGTTGGCACAGGGCATTTGGGATTCATGAGTCTTTTGTTCATAGTTAAAGCACAACACCACACTGGGAACTTAAGAAATAAAAAATCTTTGCTCCAAATCATCGAAAGTTTCCTTCCTTCTCTTTCTCTCTTTCTCTTCCTTTCCCTCCCTCCTTCCTTCCCTCCCTCCCTCTTCTTTCTTTCTTTCTCTTTCTTTCTTTCTTTCTTTCTTTCTTTCTTTCTTTCTTTCTTTCTTTCTTTCTTTCTTTCTTTCTTTCTTTCTTCTCTTTCTCTTTCTCTTTCTCTTTCTCTTTCTCTTTCTCTTTCTCTTTTTTTCCCCTTTTGCACCTCTGTGTTCTTACTCTCAAGAAGACTGTGGACAGGGACAGCTAATTTTAATGTTACCTGGAACATAAGTTCTAAAATATCACCAACCTGACTAACACGAGTTTCCATCCTCATGTAAGTTTGGTGTTCTTATGTAAGGCAGGTGTGTATTGGCTGATTTGATGTAGTGCAGTGACTTGTCCTTGGTGGTGTAACTTGGTTAGCAGAGAAAAAAATGAAATCAAATGACTCCCTCAGAATAAGGGTTTTTGAGAAGGGTTTTTTTTTGTTTAAGCTGGATATTTAGTAAATATATAGCGTAGGCCAGATTGAAATGGAGCATCAAAATATTCTTCATGAAAAGTAATTTATTGAAGTTTTCTGTTATGATCTGGCTGTTCTCTAAGCAGATAAGATGTGAGAACACAGCCCCTGAGTGAGGGGCTTGCTCTGTCGTTGGGCAGGTGAGATCTCACTTTAAAACATAGTTCACAGTGTGGGGTCATGCGCATAGTGGGTCGGCAGAGTGGCTTGGAAGGTGAATTCTGGGAACTCAGAGAGGAGGTCTGTCCGTGCCTTCTAAGGTTGGACTGTAGGGTAATTGGGCAGCCGGGAGAGCAAATTCAAAAAATAAGGGCGTGAGAGGAGGAGGGTCTGGACTTTTGTGGTTGAAGTAGGAATGGCAGAGGGAGGGGTAACTTAGAGCTCATCTGATGCATGAAAGTGAGGTCAACCCTGACTTGTCACCCTCCTGTGGCTGAGGGTGTCATGCCTGAGGGACGAGGAGAAGCACAGTGCCTTCATTGTGGAGGGTCTTGGGAAGGGAAGGTAGGTGGGTTTTTGGTGTTCTGAGTTCCCGGTGGCAGGAGGCCAGGACATTGTGACGCCGAGCGGGTGGTCGAAGGTGGAAAAGACGGAGGTGGGGTCTCAGGTCAGGAGCTGTCTGTTTTCCTCAGGGCTAAGGGCTGAAGTCATGGCTGGTGTCGACATACTCTGGAAGTGCCTCTGAGAGAGAGACCTGCCCATGTGTCCTGCGTGACAAAGGGTTCAAGGAGAATGACACAGAAGCCACTGGGTTTAGGACACTTGAGAACTGAGAACAAAGTTCGAGGGGAATAGTTGGAATGGGAACCCAGAGTCCACGAGCTTTATGATTCAGTAGGTGATAAAGAAATGAAACCAAAGATGGGGAGGGCGGAGGAGGGTGCAGGGAGGAGAGATAGTGATGGACGGGGACTCGACTTGGGTGGGGAACACATAACACGGTGTACGGATGATGTGTCGTGGAATTGTGCACCCGAAACCTGTGTGACTTTGTTAACCAGGGTCATCCCCGTCAGTTCAATAAAAAGGAAAAGAAAAAAACCAGGAAGTGCAGGTCACATACATGTTCTGTTCGTTTGGTTCTTCCAGTGCCTGCTTTGCAGCCCTTTCACTTAACTAAGGTCCTGGCAGGGAGGTAAAAGGAGGTGCGACTGAAAACTGTCCAGTCAGGTCCCGGTTGAGAGACTAGTTATAGTAACGGGAGGGCATGGGTAGGGGGTGAAACCATTAGTTATTTGGGTTCCTATGAATCAGTGTTAAACTGGCCCTTATTCCTGAAGATGGCTGAAGTTTGATGGCAACTTTAATGAAAAGAAAATGAGCACAGATGTTACTAAAAACGACATCTTTACTAACTACTGTTTTTTTAAACTCTCAGTTTCTATGCAGATTTCGGACCTCTGAACTTGGCAATGCTGTACAGATACTGCTGTAAACTAAACAAGAAACTGAAAGTGAGTACCGGGGCGATGTCTGTGTTCTAGCGTCCAGAACCTGACTGGGAGACCGACCAGCGGGAGTGTTGTGTGCACCCCATTTAGTTGGGTAATTCTGATCGTGGGAAATTCATGTGAGTCGTTCCCGCAGGCGTTGAAATTGATCCTCCTGGGTCCCCCACAAAGGGCATGTTAACCTCTTTCATTTTTCAGGATGAACTGACATACGAGCTGAATGAAGTCATTGCAGTAGGGATCTAAGAAAGAAAGGACAAAACCTTCCTGGTGGTCATTAATGAGTCTATCAAATTCCCTCCCAGGATGGCTTTCCTGGAACCTGCGACCTGCCTCCGGGCAGGGTTACTGGGTGGGGAAGGGCTCCCGGCCTCGCGGTGGGAGCCCCAGCTCAGACGGTTTTCTGCCCGATCAAGATTTAAAGTTGTCGCGTGTTTCTTGAATGACTTCTCTGTCGAGTTCACAGCCGAGTGAGAGGGAGGAACTGGTAGAGGCAGGGAGTGTGGACTTTACAGATTACAGCAGCATTTGGATCATACATTCAATGTTCGTCTAGATTTTTTATTTTACATGTGCTTTTTTGTTTGTTTTTCACTCTTAATTTCTAAGCATACACAAGGAAAAGTGACATCTATACTCCTAACGTTGGTAAACTTCGTTCATCGCATACAAAGAAATATTTATTTTTTTCTCCCAACTTTCTAAATGAGGATCTTAAGTAGAACGTTTCAGTTTGGAAGGTGAAATGCTACATGGCATCATCCTCGTAAGGATAGAGGCTAAATTGTACCGCTTGTATAGTTTATCCTGTCTGCTGGGTAAGACATTCCTGGTGGGGCTGTGCCTCATCCCTGAACCTGCTGATCCCCTTTCACTTTGATTTTTACTGAACTTACATATAACAGACAGTCTGTGGTGGAGAATTTCCCGTCAGATAGGTTGTGTATTTATGAATTCATGCATTTTTGCCATTGAGGTCAAAATGCCAAATGGCCATGAAACGCCACCAAAGAGATTTTCGAAGTCAGCAATTATATAACGTAAGATCTGTTGCAGTGAACTTTTTAAGGAGTTAGTTGGCAAAGTCTTGTGTGACTTGAAAAATGTGTGTAAATTCCTTTCTCTATACCGATCTTCATTTTTCAGAAAAGAAGCGGCCACCCACCGTTTAGGAAGTTGACATTTTTGTCATCACTGAAGAAGCACATGACACCCTAACACGGGTGTCCTATAAAAATATAAAATGGACTTTTAGTGGATGAATTAACGAGAAAAGGATGGTTCACAAATAATTGTTCATGATTATACCCAGTTCATTTCTTCTTTGGGGGACCCAGGGATTCCGTTGCTTTCTTGGTTAGTCCTGTTCGGATGTGCGCAGTTGGTATGAACTGGGTATTAGAAGGAATGGTTTGGGATGCTGCAGCCATGTGGAGTGACCAAAGAGAAAGGAGTCATTATCAGGAAAATAACATCCCTATCTGACTCAGTGGGCTACTTACAGCAACCACACACAGGTAGACAGACTGGATAAGCCTTTTTCTACCGCGTTCGCTCCTGAACAGTGTGGGTAAGTGGATACGGGGGCTCGTTTTGTTCTGCTTTCATTTACAGAGTTTTCTTTCAACATTATGAAAGTTTAATAAAGCCCGGAGAGTCCCCTTGGTTCATTTCGGTGCTCAGGTGATCTACTGGACGCCCGGAAGGACACTTCTGGCTTTAGTACAATTTGGGGCCACTCTGTCACTTGTTGAAGGGATGTGTTTTTCAAAACCCAAATGTCAACGAGTCATTCCTGGGTTATGGTGGTGCACACCTATCTCTGTATTAGGAGAAAAAGACGGATTTTACCAGTTAAACCTGTGATTGCTTCTACCTTGTAGAAACTGTCTCTTCCTCTAAAGAGGGATTGTAGAGCTCTCATGGAGAGAATTAGAGTAGAAAATATATGCAAGAGAGCTTTATAAATTTTAAAGTCCTACAGAAGGAAGTGACCCGTGGAGCCTTTGTGACTGCCAATGGGAAGTCCAGTAAAGGCAGTTCTTCAGCGGATGCAGAGACGCCGCTGCCGCCTCTCCGCTGCTGTGTGCACATGAGAAGGCTGTTCGATGTGACTTCAGGAATTGAAGTGACCACCTGGTCCAGGCCCCTGAGTTCGCAAGTGCAGAGGGCGGCCCAAGAGGCACGTGACGTGCCGGGGGCTGCAGGGAAGAGTCGGGGCTGGAACTCAAGGCTCTTGACTGTATTTCTCATTTGTGCCCCTTCTCTCTGCTATTGGTGGTCTGTTGCCTTCCTCGCTGTTCCATGGCGCTGCCCGGCTGACTTCACCTTGTCCCATCGTGGCCTCAAGGCTCTTCTGCCTTCTCTGCACCAGCGACTGTTGCCCCAGCCTCTTTGCTACACAGAACCCAGGCTCTGGGCTTTGCTCTTCTGAATGTGTCTTCTTGTTACACGGCCACATTCCATTTCTCAGTCCCATGACACCTGCAGACGTCAGCTCCCTGCTGATGTCCTTGCCTGCAGCCCATGGTTACCCACTGTGGTTATCTTTGGACGCCTTGCTTCTGTACCTTCCGTCATGCTCACCTTGACCACTCCCACCCAGCCTTGGCGTCTTTCCCAGTGGGTGAGGTTGTGCCCGCATCTCACTGATTCACTGACCACGGCGGTCCCTCTGCCCTGCCCTGCCCCGCCCTGCACTTTGTCCCAGACGATGGCTTGTGATGCCCGGTTGGACTGGAAGGCCCTGCTCTCTGGTGTAATAACTCTTGTTCCTTCAGACCTTGTTCGGGCCCCACTCGTTCTGGGAAGCGTCTCCTTGTCCCTTTGGACGCGGGTGGAGGCGCCTCCCTTGTTTGTGCAGGCACCGTCACTAGTCAGTCATGCCTACTGCCGGTGTGCTTCTGTGAGCGCCTCGACTAGGGAGTGGAGACGTGCCTTAGAATTTCGTGTCCCTGGTGCCTGCCCAGGGTCACCAAAGCCATGGAGACGCCTGTGGACCTTGCCTCACCTGGCCTCTCTTATCCTTTCCCCCGGGGCTGCCCTCCGCCTGCGGGCACCCTGGCTCCACAGTGATTTCTTCATGCACTGCTATCACACCTCTGTCGTCCTTACCTACTGGGACCGCTCCAGTGTCCTCCAAACACCCGAGCTGGTGGCAGCCGCTTGGTCCTCAGACCCCCCTCTTCTTCTCTGAGTAACTTGGCACTATTTTAACAACGTCTCTGAATTCTCCCGTGTGGCTTCCCAGATCCTCGGGCACATCTGATTTTCCACTTGGGAAATTTTTATTTTTCCTAGTAAACCTTTGATGACTTGCTCTCCCTTTAGAGGATGCCTTGTGTTGGCAGGTAATATTTGGCAGTGAATTCTCTTCCAAACCCAAATTTCTTATTGTTCACCTGTGCAAAGGTACTTTTCGAGCTGATGATTCGAGATGGGGACTCATGCTTTTTGTGTGTGTACCTGTCAGTAGGTATTTTCTTGCTAATAGCCTTCATTTTAATGATGCTGATTAGAATGAAAAATTCTCCATCAAACATCTGCTTAGATTTTAAAAAGCCAGAAAAATAGAATCTACCGTCACCAACTGAAAACCTGTGTCTTATTTTGAACTATTCATTAAAAAGTGTAAGTACAAGAGTTAAGGAGTAAGGGTTGTTGTTTGCTATTTTGGGTCCAAAGTTGCTGTAATGAGAGGCATAGAAGGGCAATCTGTGAAATGAGAACAATCTGTAAAACTGTAACTACTTAATGTAAGGTGTCATTAGTGATGGATAGACTAGACCAGCAGCGATTACTCTGCCATTTCAGGGGAGTCATAAACTTCTGAAATTATAAGTGGAATTCCGTGTGTTTTACATTTTTCTTCAGAGAGGATTTTTACCTTTTTAGCAGGTTATATATTTTTAAGATTTTACTTATTTATTAACAGAGAAAAAGGGAGGGGAGGGAGAGAAACATCTATGTGTGGTTGCCTTTTGTGTGCCCCCTACTGGGAACCTGGCCTGCAACCCAGGCATGTGCCCTGACTGGGAATCGAACTGGCAATTCTTTGATTCGCAGCCTGGCACTTAGTCCACTGAGCCACACCAGCCAGGGCATTAGCAGGTCCTGAAAGGGATTCTTTGGCACACCATAGAGAATGAGTTAGACTCTCAGGGCTTCTGAAAGAGAAGACTGCACTCACCAAGGACAGAGAAATAGCGCTTTAAAAAACAACACCTTCTTCTGACTCAGTCATTTAAGAAAACCTTTGCCACTAATTCAATAATCTGAAAGTTTTATAAACATATATGATTCAACCAGCTTTTTCTAAGATAGTCAATACAGTTTTTAACTGTTGATTTCACTGCCCCTCAGAGAAAAATAAAACCCTAGCCTGGGGCTGGGGCTGGGGGTGGGGGTGGTGAATCTAAGAGTTTTATTGAAAATAGGGGACATTTTCCAGGGCAATGATTTTTTTAAAATCATACCTTCTCTGATGAATCAACAGGCCAATTACAGTCCTCCTGAGGATTATTTTTAAAGGTCTGAAAGCATATTGACAGAAATGCAATTTTCAGTGTACAAAGGAGCCCATGTGGGCCTGTTCAGGGTAGAACGGGAAGGGGTGGGCCCGGTGAAACGGACGATTGTATGTGAGCACCAAGCGCCGGGCAGGCGGTGGGGGCTCGGGGGACGGCCCTGCCGCTGAGTGATCGGCGCAGTAATCCTACCCGGTAACCGGGCACCGTCCCCGGCATCGGGTCGTTGTACACAAGAACTCTTTTGATACAATGATCAGACCACTCTCTCGTTAGGACCACAACAACATGTTGAGGTTCCTGCGTGAGGTTATCTTCTGTTTGAGGGTCAGGGGCTCGGGGGGGAAACGAGGCCAGCCACCCTCTGCAGGCAGTTCCTGTCGCGTAAAGGGGTGGAATGGGTCCGAGGCAGCAATAAGTCGCGTGGGAGGGAGCGTCCACGGGGCGTGCGGGGCCTGGGGCCCTGGCGGCTCTTCA